TACAATCATGTAGGACAGTCTATGAAAACAAAAATCGCTGCAGTGTTTGAGAAGGAAAGATCAGAATGGGACGAATTGTAGAGTCATTGGCTATAAGTCAAACGACGATGTGATGTCGGCTAATCTTTGCATGGCGGGGCTCATGGCAGCAATCTTCCTCGCCAGACGCTCTGCTAGAAGTGCCTCGTTCGCTTCGTCTGAGATGACTAGGGAGTAATGTGCGAAGGCCTTCTCGGGGTTGGTGAAGAGCGCCTCGTGGTCCTCAAGCGGTGCGGCGGCAGTGGTGGAGGGAGCGGACGAAGAGTAGTACAGGTCGTACTCGGCATCTACCTCCTCAGTCTCATCGACGGCAGCGGGGGTGGACTCAGACTGGACGGGGCGCTCGACGATGGGGTAGTCAGCCTTGACCTCCTCGACAGTCGAGTCGTCCTCGGCGTTCAGGATAGCGCTGTATCCCTTGCCAGACATGGCCTCGATGTCGAGGGGGTTGGTGGGCCCTTCAGGCAGCTCAGTGACGGCGAAAGCAACGGGTTGCTGGAAGTTGAAGCCATTGTTAGCACCCCAGTTGTTGCCATTGTTGGTGTTCAGGTTGAGCATAGCAAAGTCGAGTTGGGGCTCGGGGACCATGGTCATACCAACGTGAGTGTTCTCGGCCTGCGACATGCCGTTGAACTGCTGTTGTTGCTGGAACTGAGTGGGGGCAGGAGCAGCGGCGACGGGTGCTGCGGTTGATGGCATTGAGGTCATGGGGGCCTTGGCTTGGAGCGACTCGTCGCGAGAGAGCTCCTCGAGGAAGGGAGTGAAAGCCTGGTGGCGGAGCAGACGCTCGATGAAAGCGCGCGAGCGGGCGTTCTCCTCCATGAGGAGGCGGTTCTGGGAGCGGAGTTCGTTGGCCTCGTTGACCTTCATGGCAACCTCGCCTTCGAGCTGGCCAATGTATTCTGGCTGTGTTAGTTGATGTTGCACATGCAGTGGGGTCGTGGTAGCTTACCCTTCCTTCTCGAGCGGAAAGCGCGAGCGGAGACCTTGTTACGGAGCTGGCGGCGCTCCTTGGAGCTGAGCTTCTTGCCCTCTTCGGACGCAAGCAGCCTCTCGTCCTCGTCCATGTCCTCCTCGTCCTTCTTTGCGCGGATGATGTGGGGGAGGAGGCCTTGGTTGTCGTTGGCCATGTTGGCAGACGCGTTCTGGCTGTCGGCCCGGATCTGTGCGACGACACGGGTGATCATCTCCTCGGTGTGGGCGTCGCTGAGCGGGCTCGAGGTCTTGCGGCTGGCCGAGCTGGTGGAGGCCATGCGGTTCTGTTGCTGTTGTTGCGCTTGCTGCTGCTGTTGCTGTTGCTGGAGGGCCTGCTGTTGCTTCTGGTGGGCCAACTGTTGCGCGCGCTGCTGTTGGGCCTGCGCCTGCGCCTTGGCCATGGCAGCCTGCTGTTGATGCATACCGGGCCAGACCCTGACGTTGGTGACCTCCTCTTGTGTGATGGCGCTGGGGTCGACGAAGTCGTCTTGGGCGGCCTCGTTGAAGACGAAGCTGTTCTGGCGGTAGTCGACGGCCATGTTCATGCCGACGTCCATGGGCAGGCCGTTGTTCCAGGCGCCGTCCATCATGGAGTCGCCGCCCATCATGGCCATCTCGTCCAAGCCAGTGGACGAGAACATGGGGAAGCCCGTGTTGTAGCCGGCGTTAAGGCCGGGAAGCGAGTTGGTAGGCAGGCCGGTTTGCTGCTTGAAGCGCTCGTACTCGTGGCTGGGCTTTGCGGGGGTCTGGAGGTCGTCGTCGATGTTTGTGCTGGTGGGACTGGCCATGGTCGACGTCGCACTGGACTCCCGCTTCAGAGTGGCAGGCTGCGTGGGCGAGGGCATCTGGCCAAAGTCGAAGAACTCATTGGGGTCGACGCATTGGTTCGGGTGGCCGTTGAAGGGGGCCATGGTCATGGCAGGCTGGACGGCGGTAGCCATGTCGCTATTGTTTGTTCGACTGCTGGGGAGTCGCTGATCGTGTTTGAGCGGTCCTTAGGCAGGCAAGCGGCAGTCTTGGGGTGTTGTGTTGCGGGCACTGGGTGCGTGACAGGAGCGGTTAGCCTGCTGGAAAGTCGTCGTCAGCTCGACGCTGGGCCGGTTCTGCCGGAAGTGTGGCTGTGCCGATGGATCCGCGCCTCCTGCGAGCACGTTTGTTGTGATAGAGCGAGTGTGTTGGTGGTGAGAAGATTGTTGTTGTTGGTGTTGATGCAGAGTGCAATTGTCGGATGCGAGTATGGTGGAAGAGAGGCAGAGCGAGGGCGAGGATGGGCGACGGCGGCTTCTTTGCTGGGGCCCTCGCCCTTGCCGTTTCAGACTGAGGCGGAGTCCCCCTTCTCGAAATAGAAGGAAGCAGGCCCAACCCGGTTGGCTCCCTCGCCCGCCGATCACTGCCCTCCGCCCAGCAAACTTCGGCTCTTCCTCTCTCCTGAGCGCCGGGTCATCTCGTCGGCTTCACCATTCTTAGTACACTAGACACAATATCAGCATAATGCTAATTCTCGGATATCTGCTTCCCCTCTGCGGTGCTTCCACGGCACCAGCCTCTGACGTCACGTCACGGCTGTCATTTTTATCAACCGTACAAGCAACCCGAGTCCTTCAACAACATCCAAGGCCATGGCACCCAGCTGGCGAGTCTCCGTATACTCTCGTGCAGCTAGGCATACGCACTTGATGCACTGTCGGCGCATACTCGCCGAGCCCGAAAGTTGGACAGACGAATCAGCGCCTGCCCTGCTGCACCACCACTGAGGCTGTGCTGTCATACTGCACCCTTCTGGGCACGCTTGCGAACCCCGCTGCTATTCGTCCACTCAGGCCTCTTTTCTCTCTCCTGCACGAATAACTTCCATGCCGTGCAGCCATTGAGCCACAATCTACCGGCTTGGTGGCGCGGGCGCCCAGTTCGGTTGCATGCCAGCCAGCAAGCAGAGCAAGTGCAAACGAGCCTGAGTCTAGATGCCAACTCTAGACCTCACCATCTTACTATGCAACGCCTGCACATGACAAAGCCTTCGTATACGTACGTCTGGCGCAGCACTTGCTCACATTCCGCAGCACCACCAGCCATCAGGGCCATCTGGCGTCTACGCCGACGGTCAGCGTGAACGCCTCTCCGGACAACCTGCCGCGCCCAGTGCAGCGACAAGTCCACATCCACATCTACCGCATTATGCCAGCTTTGCGAGCTCACCTGTCAAGTCTGTCAGCGCCAGCCGCAAATTCTGATCTACATGGTCCCGTCCTCTGAGCGGAGTCGGTCTTTAGTCCGGCAATCTCCGTCCCAGTGCCATGGAGTGACTTGACCCGACCAGCTTCCCCGATTCCACTGGCCATGAGACCTTTGAATCTTGAAACACTCGTCTTGAGTCAACAACGACTTAAGACGTCACAGCTGTCACTGCTTCATGCCCGCGCGGGTCCTGCCGCCCAATCAAAACCAGCTCATCCCTCCAGCGTAGCCAGCAACCCATGCTAAGATGAGGATAAGCCCTACCTATCAGATCTGCATCGCAGGTACAGGCAAAGCCAGTTTACACGATACCGATTATCGGCCAACCTCATGGAAACTCGTGGGAACGTTTCCTGCGCCATGCTCCAGCAGCTGCACAATTTTCGCACTGGAGCAAGGCTGAGCATGGGACGCGTCATCAGCACGCAGAGGAAATTTCCAACCTCAAATTGAGAGACACAATTGCAAGTGTTGCAGCTGGAGACTTGGTGACAGTACTACACGCGGGCTTACACCGGTCTCTAGAACAAGGCCATGCCTACACGTCTTTGTCATGCGTAGCATTGGCAGGCTGACAATCACTTGGCCGGCCTTATACACTTACCATAGACTTACTACAGCCATCGAACTTCAGAAGCATGCAACTGCAGACTTGAAAGATCGTCCCTGCCAACACATCTCTGTGTACCGTCTTTGGCGCTCTCTGTACCCCTCTCCAAAGGCCGCGTACACAGAGACACACTTTCTTGCATCCAGAACCTCCTAATCACTCAATGTCATGATCCAGAAGCCGCAGCAATCTAGTCGCACGTTCTATTCCCTAAACCCAGCGAACCACAAGCCGCCCGTCCGCCCCGGCCGCTGCGCACCAGCGTCGGAGTCAAACAGACCATCATGCCATTATCCACAACCGCTCACTTCCGTCTCAGCCCGTCTCTCACAGCGACCCTGACGCATAAACCACGGAAAGACATTGGGCGACCGCTAATCGGCCCGCCTCAAACCGTAAAAAGAGGTCTAGTGTCCAGAACCCTCAGACCCTGACCCGTCATCTGGCTGAACTCTTACCCATGGAGCCACAGAACACACACACTGCTGTTTCACGGTCTTCGACCCCGAAATCCAGTCATGCCACATTCACTTTCCCATCACTGGAAGCGCTGCTACTCCCTACTAGATGTGAAATGTGAAAAGGCCTTCGAGACGGCTTTGACGCGACGCGCGTCTCGTGTCGTCTTTGAACTGGCGGTCGATGCTCTTGCCGTGCCGTGGGTTTTGACAACTCACAGCTCCGTGCAAGCCTCACTTGATTTCCCCATGATCGCTGGTCTTGGGTGAGCTTGTTGCACTTTACGCGTTTCAGGAACAGACGATGTTGGAGCACGGCTGGGCTGGAGGCGAGCGTCGTGAGAATATGGAGTAATGCGTTTCGCATAAGGTGCTATCGTGAACAGTGATAGTCCATCTACTATGAGGGCCTCACTTGTAAACCTAATCGCTTCTCTTGAATCATGCGAGCCTGGGGAGTTGGATTAGCTTGGACGGTCGATTGGTAGGCATAGTCGCCAACCGATGCCTTGAGTGGGGGATGACTGAAGTCAAGCCAACGACGTAGCGTATAGCAAGCTGGTCGTTCGTGTACTCCAGAGAACATGTTGGTGCCGGGTCATTACAACCTCGACAAAAAGAGAAGAGGATAATTGTGGGCAAAGTGTCATTGATACATCATTATACATAGCATCCAAGGCTTTCTATATCCTCTTCTCACCCTGCTCAGGCTCATCCCGAAGGAAGCCATGAACATCCTCCTCATCCACGCTACCAGGCTCGCGCTCAAGCCCAGTGGTCGTGCCATCGTGACTATACTCCATGACAGGCGGCTGCTGATACTGCTGCTGCTGTGATTGCTGACCATACTGCGCACTTTCAACCTGTTCGAACTGCGCAGTCGCCTGCTGATACTCTTGCTGGCCCATCATCCCCCCCTCAAAATCCCCCACTCCCCTCCCCTCACCCCCCATATACTCCCCACCGTCCATCTCCCCCGCCAACCCCAACTCGCGAATCGTCCTTACGAAAAACGCCTCTCCCTTCCGATCCCCCATGATACCCCCTCTCGCTACCCCCTCACCACGCGCCACATCCCTCACAATCGCGCGCGCACGCTCGTAATCGCCATCTTGAGCTAACGCACGCACAACAGCGGCCATGGCGCCCCAACCAGGCAGATTCTGTTTTTTGCTCATGCGCGTGAGCACGCTCATCATCTTGCCCACCTCGCCAAAGGACGCATAGCCTTCTAGCAAGCGGTCGAAGAGGACGCGGTCACTGGGCATGCGCGGTGCGCTGAAGAGGCGGAGGACGATGTCGTCGACGCCGGCGATGTTGGGGGGGTCAGACTGGAAGTAGTGTGTTATAAGCGAAGTGTAGACGTGGACACTGGGGACGAATTTGCGGGATGTCATGTGTTCCATGACGGCGCGCATGGCGTGGAAATTGGAGTATTTCTTCAGGAGACGGTCGATGGCTGTGGCGTAGATGTAGTCGTTCATTTTGAGGCCGTTGGCTTCGAGGTCGTTTAGGATCTTGAGGATGCGTTCGGTTTGTTGGGTTGAGGTGAGGTTGTCGAAGACTTGGTTGTCGAAGGCGGCGCTGATGAGCATCGTGTGTGTGGCTGCGTCGCCTTCCAGTCCGTCTTTTTCCATCTGGGCGAGGATCTTGAAGGCGGTGCTCCGGTCGCCTGCTCGAAGGTAGAGCTGCACGAGAGAGTTGTATGTGATGGCGTCGGGTTTGATTTGGAAGTTCCTCGACCAGGTGAGTAGTTTTTGTACTAACTCTACTTTCTTCTGGTGGTGCATTCTCTCGCTACGGTTTTGTACAATGGCGGATATGGCGCCGTTGATGACCTCGATAGAAGGCTTTGTGCATGGGTTCGCTGCTTTGCTGGAAGATTGGACCTTTTTGGGACCCTTTTGTCCTTTGGTCTGCTTCTGAGAGTTGGCGAGAGCGTGCTCGGCTGCAACCCAGCGTTTGCCCATATCGTCCAGAGCGACAAAGGCTTCGTTGACCTGTTTCAGGGACATCAAGCCGTTGATACGGGCCGTCCAAGCATAGTTGCTTGGCTCTAGACCGGTTCTTAGCATGCGCTGCCACATTGCGTTGAGGCCATCCAGATCCCTTGCCTTTGCGCATCCTTCCAAAAGCGCAACCCAGGAGTGCATATTTGGCTCGACCTTGTGAGCGATCATGTGGTTCCAGACCTCGACGGAGCGCTGTGGGCTGAGAACAGTCATGTACCCAGAAAGAAAGGCGTTGTATATAGCGGGGGGTATAGTCTTGTCTTGCGCGGCGTATGTTTTCTCAGTCTCTCGCCACATGCTGTCCAGCGTGGCTGCCGAGCCTTTGCTTGACACAGCACGCCCTATCCTGGTCATATAGAATGCTTCCAAGTTGGTGTACTCGTCGCCTGTATTATCTGGACCAAGGGTCTCGCCGGCTTTTCCAAGAGCTACTAGGGCTTTTCGTGGAGCGTCATTAATTTCCTCCATAATCGTGACCTGGACATCTTCTGGTAGTTTCTTAAAGTCCGGGGTTTCTGTGTGTTTCAATACTGAGTCTACAAATGAGCCGGCGAGTAGCTGTCTAAGGAAGGCTAGAAAGGGAGCGGCTTCTTTTTGTGTCTTTGGATCCAGTGCGTCCGAAATACCGTAGAAATATACAGCACAAAAAGCCAAGGCAGGACTAGCGACATAGTTGGGAATGTAGCCTTGCAAGCGCATGTTAAATTGTCTCTGATCAAGCATATCCGGAATTGTGTCGACAGGTGGTAAGTGCCATTCAGTACTGACAGACTCTATGGTACCGCTCCCTGGCCCCATGCATTGGAAGAAGAGTCGCCATACAGACAGCAGCTCCGTGACTAGTGAAGGGATGTCTCTTGCCGATCCAGATGGGGTGTTTACAGCACGTATGATTTCATACGTCAGATAACCTATTGTTGGTCTAACCCAGTACTCCTTCCGAGCAATGCCAAGCTGCTCATATTTGAGAAGTACTGCAGTTGGTGTAACCTTCAAACCCGGGCTGGCTGCGCAAAAGGTACTCGAGACGGCTCTGAGGAGTTTCGCAAATACCCGGTCTTCACTTAACAGCTGCGCATCGCGATCTGTTGGCTCTGTCAAGGCTTTGCAGTCGCGTGAAGTATAGATGCTCTCAAACGCTTTCCAGGCTCCATTGATCTTGCCGTGGCGGAGAGCATCGAGCACTGGATCAGCGAAAGCTGTGCCCATTCCGGACGAGCCGTTCTGTACTGCACCGACGTATGCAGGTTCCTCTTCACCACCACCATACGTTGAGCCTTGATTTGTTTCGTTGTAGATGAGTCTGGAGTATCGGCCAAGTGGTTGTTGGCTGTGGGGAGGTTGCCCGTCGCGTGCGCCCGTAAATCGTATATTTGGCCCGTTGCGATTCGTCTCCTGTGTGCCGTCTTCCTCATCTCTATTTTGCGTAGATGCTTCTTCATCTGGCGGTTCCGTGGCATCGTGTGGCTTTCGGCCGGCCAGCGAAACGATCGTGGCTCTAGGTTGCCATTGAGGGCTTCGCACGGGGGTAATGCGTCGGGCCAGGCGTGTCCGGCACTGTCGACATACGTATGCGCTTAGCATAATGCTGTAGCGAGCCTGAGGGGGGGTGGAGGGGGGTGAACGCTGGCGACGATGGTTAGCTGGTGAGGTCGAAACTTTTTGGCGTATAAGTTTGCACACCTGCAATTGCTCTTCAAGACCTCATCTGCGCGGTACTGTCAAATCAAAGAACGCCCGTTAATCCAGGAGACCGTCCCGCGTGAATTGTTGTACAGAAATGCGTGCCGCCACAAATCGCGTGCAGGTGTCGCGATGCTGTGCGGAATACCTCCGACCAATGAGACGCCATGACGTCCACACGCTTCACGTGACTGCGGGCTTTCTCCAGAAACCTCTTAGGCCACCTCAACCTCATTATTCATGCTCTGCATAACGGAAGAGCTCTAATAATAAATCCATTTTCATCTCCGAGTATCAGTGTGATTGATAGAACATACGATGACAACCCTAATCCCGCGGCAGTTCTATTCGCAGGAGGAGCTCGATAAGCTTTATCCGAAAGAGCTTGAGTTGCAGCTCGTACAGATTGTGAGCACCAATGCCATAGCTTCTTTTCGTGCCACCACTAACTGAGATATTAGTTACTTCGCCATGGTGTGTAACATCAATGTGTTATTGACATGTTGGCAAACTCGTATATTGACGTCTACACATAGGCGAAAGAAGCCCTGTATCTCCTCGCTTCCAGAATGTAAGCATTCTAGTCCGTGCACTACAGTGCCATTGTTAACATTACCAGACTGGACTGCCACCTTGTAAGACATCTCTCACGAGCTGACTGAGGGGTTTCTGACTCGACAAGATTGGCCCTACTGCAACTCCGCCCGACAACTTACCAGTATAATACTGAACACCAAGGACTTTTCGAAATGGGATCAATTGAAATACCGCCGCCGCCTTGAAACTTTTGGCATGGATGATGGACCCGGTAACATGTTCGTCCAATTACCCCGGACGGTCACTAACAACAACTAGTCATTGCATCAGGACCTAAAGGCGAATTCGATGCCATATGTCAACCCGGTGAACTCACAGACAAGGGCCGTGAAACAACTCTAGCCCTAGGCGAGCGCCTTCGCCATCTCTACGTCAACCAACTGAAGTTCATGCCCGAGCTCATCTCCGATAGTGACATGATCTATCTACGCGCAACGCCTATTCCACGCGCTCTAGAATCTCTTCAACAAGCCTTCTGGGGCTTCTACCCCCCATCCGCACGAACTGCAGACTTCCCTCCACCAACAATCATCACCCGAACCCCGGCTGATGAAACGCTCTTCCCCAACGACGCAAGCTGTAGACGTTTCGCTCAACTGAGCCGAGCATTTGCGCAACGTGCAGCTGAGCGTTGGAACGACACCGAAGACATGCGCTACCTCACCAAAGTGCTTTCGAAATGGATGCCGGGGGAGCAAAAAGTAGCCGTGGACTCTCACCCTAGGCTTTCCGGTATCATGGACACCCTAAACGCCACCGATGCACACGGCCCAGAAACCAAGCTGCCAAAAGAGTTCTACGACCCCAAAGCCCGTGCCATTATCGACAAGATCGCGGTCGAGGAATGGTACGCAGGCTACACCGAGTCGTCCGAGTACCGTATGCTCGGCATCGGCGGCCTAATGGGCGACATCACCTCCCGAATGGTCGGCAGCGTCGAGCGCAACGGCAACTCCGGCATCGTCGAAGTCGGTGGCGTAGATGGCAAACTAGGCAAAGGACGAGGCGGCGAAACCAACATCCGCTTCGCCATGTCAGGATGCCACGATACTACCCTAGCCGGCGTACTCACATCGCTCGGTGCCTTCAACGGCGAGAAATGGCCCCCATTCACCTCGCACATCGCCGTCGAAATGTTCCGCAAGCGAAACCCCACTGTCATCCCAAACCCCCCCGCCCCCACAGAGCAAAACCCCACTCTCAAAACCCAAAGCTGGTGGTCCTCCCTCTTCGGCAGCACAAAAACCACTTCCGACTCCAGCCTCACCCCCGAAGGCATAGCCCGCAAGCCCATCACCGATCTCACCACCGCACAGCGCGACCAACTAAACGACTACTACGTCCGTCTCCGGTACAACGACAAAGTCATGGAGATACCTGGTTGCAAAGCACCGGGCAAGCATCTAGACGGCGATACTAGTTTCTGCACGCTGGACGCGTTCAAGGCTATTGTGGATAGGTATACGCCGAAGAATTGGAAGGCGGCGTGTGCGAGTCGGTTGGATGAGCCGGCTTTTCCGGTTAAGATTGAGCCCGCGGGTTATGAGTAGTTAGTTGTGCGAAGAGTGAATACAGTTTGTGGAAAAATGAGGGTAGTGGCGGTATAGATTGTTGACATGTTGCATGGAAAGGATAGAGATAGACTAGATACAACATGATTCTATTTCCTGACTTCCACCCCAGCTATAAAAACCTCCTTTAGATACACATGCTCCTCCCCCCTACATCCCCAAACACAGCCCGCTGCGCACCACACCCCAAACCCTTCCACGCCGTTCTGTCGCAAGCCGGTCATATTTCTCCTCCAGCCCCATAATCTTCACATCGCGTTCCCTCAGCTCCCCTCGTAACCCTTGCATCTCTTCCCTCAGCTCCTCAACCATCTTCCCATCTTGACTCTGACCCTGCGTCTGGAGAACCTGAACCTGTTGACTCAACTCCATTTTCTCCGCCCTCAGCTCAGAGACAGTTTTCCCGGTTTGGATTTGGAATTGTAGGAGTTGGTGGCGTAGTTCTATTTTGTCTGCCTGGAGTGAAGAGATGGTTCTGTTAAGTTCTTGTAGTTCTTGTAGTTCTGTGTCGGCGCGGTGTGTGTGATGGGTGATCAATGCGGCGACGACACCGTCGAGGGCGCTGTTGGTGAGGAGGGCGAGACTTGAGATGAGGTCTGTGGTGAAGGTGGCTAGGGGGGAGGAGGATATGGAGTAGGATGACATGGTGGAGTTGGTGGGTTGGGGTTTTGGCTGGTGGAAGAGAGGATGGAAGGATGGTGGTAGGGGATGGTGGATGTGTGATGATGATGGTGTTGCTGTGATGGTGGAGCGGACGTGATAAATACAGCATTCCATGCAAGTTCAGAGCGTCAATATTGTCTTACTTCACAAAGGAAGTGAGTCTTGAGTATGTTTTGGCAGCAATGAGACATATTCTGCACAACAGACTGTTCCTTGATCCTGCGACATATCGAAAGTGTCTCATCTGGCGACTTAGATGCTCATGTCTCCTTCCTACATTTCCCGAAAACCCTCCGTCCAAGATACGACTTCAGCCTACCAAAGACATTCCGCCGCTTCGACACCTCAATACCCTTCCCATCCGCGACAATATTATCACTCTCTTTACTCGCACCTTCCGCATCAACTACTTCTTCCTCCTCCCCTTCCTCCTCCCCCTCCTCCTCACTCCCAAAATACCTCTTCCTCCTCGCTTCGCGCTCCTCAGCCTCCAGCCTTTCCCTTTCCCTTTCCTCCTCCTCCTCCTTCTCCTTCACAGCCCTCACCCTAGCCCTCGCCGCCCTCTCCCTCAACATCTCCTTCCGTTCCTTCAAATGCGCTGCATAGTCCTCCGCAACAGTCACACTAGTATCGTACTTTGCCGCTTCATCAGGAAAGTCGAGCGGTTTCGCGTTGGACGGGAGACCTAAACGTGCCATGTATTGCTCCCAGGACTCGGTGGTGGGACGTGGATCCGGTCCGGTTTGTGTGGGTTTGATGTCCGCGATGATGTGAATTTGGAATGACATGGTTGTTGATGTATTGAGGGTGTGTTAGGCAAGGTGTAATTGTGACCTTACGGGTTGGAGAAAAGGGAAGAGCCACTTTAGTGTTTCAGTTGCGTGATGGACTTGGGAACACATGGTATAGTGTTAATGTAGACTTCTTTGACCCCTTTCACCAAAGCATACAAAGGCCTACATTTTTTAGCGCAACACGCAATTCGCTTCAATGCCGAGTGAAATCTGAAGCTATTCTAGCCTCGCTTGCTATTGCACATACAGAGAGCAGTTGATTATGAATTGATTTTGGTATCTTACATCTATACCCTTTACTGTACATGGCCGACTGAAGCCGCTGTACACAGAGTCCTGTCTAATCAAGACAAACTCTCGTCACACGGCTGACACCTGATGTACAAGACCCATGCCGCTAGTAAACACATTCGAACAAGTGGCCTAGTCCGCTGACAGTAGATCCTAGACACCAGACAAACACTCCGCCGGTAGTATCTTACAGCTTCATCAGTACTCCCATCACATACCAAGCCGCTGAAACCGGGACGAAAGTTCAGAAACATCTAGGTGTCATGTCAGCATACACGCAATGAGATCAGAGCGTTCAAAAGCATTCCACTAACTCGCAGAAGCCTCGTCAGCCACCCTATCCGAATGCCGTATGGTGCCGGTAAAACGCCCTGTTCCACCAGCAAGCATACCATCAAACTCAGCGGCGCGAGCTGCTTCAGCGTCTTCCCAGCCGGTTCTCAAGTCCCAGGCCGCATCCAGTGCAGCTAGCTCGGAAGGATCGATGTCTTGCACAATGTCACCCAGGTGGCTCCACTTGGCGCTCAGCATAGCAGGCGCAAGAGCGACAATACGCTTGCTAAGCATCTGGTTGCGCCAATGAGCAGCCATGCCAAGAGGATCGACATCAGCTTGATCAAAGGATGAGCTGGACAGCTTAGCATAACCGCATGAAACAAACTCGATTGTTCGCAGTGAGGTAGTGCGCTCGCCGTCGGCCTTGGAATGCTCAGATCCAAAGTCGGAGAGATTGGTGCCGGGTGAGATTTGATCAATGATGTCCATCCAAGAGCCTTCACGGGGTTGTGCCTTGAGTACAGACTGAGCGTCGCCTGGAACTGGATTGTTTGCTAACGCAGGAATAGGTTGAGGCTGCTGTCCCAGAATTAACTGCGTTTGCAATTGATGGACCTGTTGAGCGAGCTGGGCCACAGTGGCGAAATTGATATGCTGTTGAGCGATTGCTTGAACCTGCTGGTTTGGCTGCGCCTGTGGCTGCACCGGAGCTTGGGGTTGGCCTTGAGGTTGAACTTGAGCTGGTGCTTGTCCTTGACCTTGAGGTTGAGGTTGAGCTTGATTATGTGGCTGTTGTCCTGGGTTGTTGGGCACCTGTCCGATCTGCTGTTGCAGTTGGTTATGTAAGGCCGCTATATTGTTGTTTTGAAAACCTCCAGCGTTGGCCTGCAGGTGTTGAAGTTGCGTTTGAAGCGTCTGGATATAAGCCTGAAGGAACTGCTGCTGATTTGGCACTAATTGCGGACCTTGGGCACCGACAGCGCCAAATAGTGCACCTACCGGAAGATGAGGCGGCATTATATTGTGGAATGCCGCTGGTTGCGGGTGTGGGTTGGCGTTAGGACGCAGCACGCCCGTAAGTGACACCGAATCCAATACCAAAGTCTGTAGCTTGTACCGATCGTGCATCTTGACGAATTCGCGCAAAGCTGGTGGCGTAATCCAGCAGTTGTTAAGCACGAGTTGTTCTACATGAGGGAACTGAAGCAAACCTGCCTTCACAAGAGCTGCATCAGTCGCGACCAGCACCGTAGGATGGATAGAAGGAGGATTCTCTGAACGACCTCGTATATCCATTACGGGAGCAGGAAATAGAAGTTTGTTCCTCGCGTACAGTCCCTCAGCATGTTCGCCTCCAGTGACAAAACCAACTTTCAGATGACGGATGTTCGCTCGACCAGCAACATGATGGCGGAGTAGGTCGAATAGTATACCATGGCTTTGCGTGGGGCTAATCTTTGGCGCGTCAACGAAGCCGGCCTCGTCCTTTTGCACAGTTCGCCAGCATGGAATCACCATGATAGTAACGTTGTGGAGTTCTGGTAGTGCGTCCCAGAAATCCGAACGATTTAGCATTGGAAGGTAACGATCGGAGAGCCCGGAAATGTTCAGCGTATGTACGTGTTCGAACGTGGTCGGGTTGTCGATGATAGAGAGCATGTACGAAGACATGAACGCTCGTTGGGCCCACTCAGTCTCCAATAGCCATTCTTTCTGCGCTTTGGTGAGCTTGGCGGGTATGACAGGGTTCACAAGGTGCGCTCCTTCCGATGGCATTTTACTCGATGAGAACAGAATACCTGTACCTGAAGGTGGTGGGGTTGACACAAAGCGCTCCAGAACATACGGGTCTTCGAAGCTATTAGGAACAGGGAGATCGCCGGGTTCATAAGGAGTAGCAGCATGGAGAAGCTGAGGATCCAAGTAGGGCATCTGTGGTTGCTCATCTGCAAGATTGTTGGCATCCTGAAGCTCGGCAAGAGGGAGTTGACCATCCATCCTGTATAGTGTGGCCAGTCTAACATCGCTACCAGCGTTCTGGTGGCATGCTTCAATGTGATTCCAAAGTTCCTGTTGGGCCTGGGCTCTACGATCTGGGATGGCTTTGGCAGTGCCAAAGACGCGAGATGGCTTTTGCAAGACACGTGCTCGAATAGATCTGTCCGGTCCGTTCAGCCATCCTAAACCGCTATCAATGGAAAGCGCCAGTTCCCTGACACTTTTGAGCTCGGAAAATGCTGTTTTCATCCGCGGTGTTTCATCAGCGGCATTTTCGAGTCCAGCGACAGTATCGAAGCGACGATACTCTTCATGTGGCCAGTCGTAGTTACCCCAAAAGCTTGTCTTTTTCTCCGTCAGTGACTTGACGGGCGGCATAGAAAGCGATTCTTCGTTGACTTCAAAGCTCATGCCAAACTTCCTAATGTGTGTACCGAAGCCGCGGAAGACGTCGAGGCCGTGGCCGTTGTACACTTCATCGCCGTTTGCGTTCTTCCATAAGTAGCTGGGTTGCTCGATTCGTGCGCGCTTTTTGCCCTTGAAGTCAGGCTTGTGCTCTTGTGCTAGCATGCCGTAGATCTCGGTATTGAAGGGAACAACCACTGTCCGGAAGATGACTTGCGAGACTGATTTGTTCATCTCGCGGCTTACAAGACGCAGTGATTTTATGTCGTCGCGGTTGAGGTGTTCCGCAATCATCTCTACAAGCTCAACCGGCAGCTTCCATTTCGGGCGCCCAACCGAAGGACTAGGAAGAGCGTCATGCGACGCCTCATTCCTTGCAGTCTTTACTGCCTTCTTTCCACTTTTCTTAGAGGGGGGATGCTTTGGATCCTGATCAGATGCGAGCAGTTTGCTCTTGTCGAGCAGATAGTATTTGGCGGGTAGTTTTGTGGAACTGCGGCATTCGGGCCAGATATCGTTCGCTTGAGGGTTGGGGCTGATGCTGTTGTATAGCATGGCACTGATGGCACCCCTGAAGTTAAGGACGTGTGCGGTGGCCTTTTCTTCTGGGCCCTCATAGCTATCGCGCGAGCGCTTCGAAGGGCCGGGCATGATGTGGTGATGTGAGTAGTTGAAGGGACGGTGGAGATTGCTCGCGGGTGACGAGGGGCCTCCAAAGGGAGCTGGTGCACCAACTGGAGTTCGGTCTGCTTCGTCGTCCCAGTCGCCGTCGGTGAAGTGAACGCGCCGGGAGTGGGCACCGGAATCACTTTCACTGTGATCGTATATGCCCGCATCCTCTTCTCCAAACCTCTCGGCGTCTTCCAACAGGTCCAAGTGCAAGGCCATCGCAAGCTCGTGGTCGTACGGATCTTCTGACATTGAACCTTCGCCTTCGCCTTCACCTTCTGGTGCTTGAGGGGTTGGGTTGTACAGCCTGTGAGCGAAAGGAGGTTGTCTTCGCCGTCCACGTGGGGCGAAGCTGTATTTGTATGGGCGGCCGCGTGACGAGGAGCCTCGGTAGGATGTCGCTCCTGGGTTTGCGAAGTATTGATGAATGAGAGGCTGGTAGATATTGGGCGGGTTGTTCGCGGCTTCGGGACGTGGGGAGGGCGTAGGGCTAGCAAAGAGGGTCGCGGGCTGTTGCATGTCAGCGTATGGCAGGAGCGAAGGGGTAATGATGGCCTCATGCCTGCCAAAAGCAGATGTTGCTGTCGGCATGCACGTGCGGCGTGCCGTAACGGTGGAAGGTGCGTATGAGGTTTGCCGTACCTGGGCAGGAGCGTTTGTTTGGGTTCCGCTACTCTCACCTTCCGTATCCTGGGGCGCGGCTTCGTTCGAGCGCAATGCCCACCATGGCGTCAGCCTTTGGGTGATACTGCGCCTTCCTTCGTTGTTCGCCATGATCTCGTGATGGAGCCAGACCGCTTCTTGGCCGATCTACAACGTCTTGGGACTCCAGATAGCTTCCGAAGGGCACGCGGTACAGCGGTAATGCAACGCTGCGCCCATTGAGCCGCGACGGCAGGCTGTTTGGAACCGGCGGATATTTCTGTACCTGAGTGTCTATTAGTGAGATGACATAAAGAGATCAGTATGCATGTCGCGATGAGAGTGAGGTTCGGCACGGCGGCATGCGGTGGTGTTGCCTGCTTCAATCACAAGCCCAAGCCCAAGAAGTTGTTTGTGCTGGAGCCGCAAACGCGCCCCGCCGAGCCCATGCACGATGTCATCCCGCTCTGCGAACCATCCCCAGGTCTCCGCATTTGCGCCACGGCCGACATTACCCCTGGCAGCAAGATCCTCTCTCAGTACTTCTAATGCTATAGCATCTTTACCGCTTGTATCTCTTCTCAGTGTCGCGGCGTGTTGTTCACTGTGAATAACCCTGTCTTCCGCTCCTGCCCTGTGCCTCAGTGAGCGTCGATAGATGCGCACGCCTCGCCATCTATCTGTCAGATGCCAATTATCCCATCAGGGGAATC